TTTGAGACAAGGTCTCACTGTATACCACTGGCTGGCCTGTAACTCCCTATGTAGACCAGGCTGATTAAAGGTGTGTACCACTATGCCTGGCCTTCTTTTAAAATTATTTTATTTTACCTTTTTGTATGTTTATATGTGCCATAATGTCTGGCGTAGAGAAACATTTTATTTATTATTTTTATTTTATATGTATTGCTACATGTATGTAAGTACACCCAAGTCATGCAGTGCCTGTGGAGAACAGAAGAGGGTGTTGGATACCCTGGAATTGGAATTATGGAACAGTTGTTAGCCGCCATATGGGTGTGGGGAATTGAACCCAGGTTCTCTGAGTGCTCTTAACCACTGAGCCACCTCTCCAGCCCCAGAAAAACATTTTTAATGTACTGAAAGGATACAAAGAACTCACCACTCCCACCCACCCCAAAGTCCTCTAAACAGTTTGTGAACCTAGAATTTTATTCCTAGTAAACATATAGTTCAAAAATGAAGGCCAGATGAGGGTTAGCTCAGTGTAGACTACATGGGTTAGCTTACACAAGGCCCTGGGTTCAGTCCCACGCACACACACACACATACATATCAAAAGTCCAGAAAAAGGTGAAATGAGTATTTAATTCTAAGGTAAAAGAAATATTTTTCCCCAGACACACAATGCTGAACCTGCCACCAACAGGTCCATATTATAGGAAATGAAGAATCCCTCAGGAAGGAAAATGAGAGCTGGTGAAATACGGGCCTACTCCAAAAAGTGAAAAGAGCCAGCGATGGCAGCTTTATAAGCAAAGATGTGTTTGCTCACTCTACAAATCTCCTCAAAAGATCATCCACTGAACAATACAGGCATTTACATCGTACTTCAAAGAAGTACAAAATATTTGACTATCCCAAAAGAAGGAAGCAAAGGTAAAGAAACTGCAGGCAAAACAAATAGAAAATGCGATGAATTTAAATCTACCCAGTTGAATGACAGCACTACACTTTAATGGGATAAATATGCCAATTTTTAAGAAAAAAATATATTTTAAAAATTTTATTTATTATTTTTATTTTATGTGTATGTGTGTATTGCCTGCATATAGGTAAGTGCATCCATGTCGTGCAATGCCCGTGGAGGACAGAAGAGGCCGTCAGATCCCCTGGAACTGGAGTTACGGACACTTGTTAGCTGCCATGTGGGTGCTAGGACTTGAACCCAGAAAGAACAGTAGGTGGTCTTCTGCAAGAACAGTAGGTGTTCTTAACTGCTGAGCCATCTCTCCAGCCCCTAGAAATATATTTTTAGCATTTATTTTATTTAATTCTGTGTGTGGGTATATGCGTGTGTGAGTGCAGGTGCTGGTGGGGTCCAGAGGAGGGCATCAGAGTCTCTGAAGCTGAAGTTATAGGCAGTTGTGAGCTCCCTGATGTGGGTTCTGGGAACAGATCTTGGGTCCTCTGCAAGAGCAGTATACAATACTGCTGAGCCATCTCTCCACTTCCCTAAATACTCCAATTAAAATTATTTATTCTTTTTTTGTTTGTTTGTCTTTTTGAGACAGGGTCTCCCTATAGCCCCAGCTGTCCTGGAACTCACTATGTAGACCAGGCTGGCCTCAAACTCACAGAGATCCACCTGCTTCTGCCTCCCAAGTGCTGGGATCAAAGGCATGCGCCACCATGCCCGGCTTATTTATTCTTATTTTATGTATATGAGTGTTTGCTTGCATGTATGTATATGTCTCTGGTGCCTACAAAGGCCAGAAGAGGGCATCAGACCCCTTGGAGCTAGAGTTACAGATGGTTGTGAGCTGCCATGTGAGTGCTGGGAACCAAGTAAGTTCTTCTGCAAGAGCAACAAGTACTCTTAACTGCTGAGACTTCTCTCCAGCTCCAAATATTTCAATTTTAAAAGAGAGATTGTAAATGAATTGAAAAGCACTAGGGGGTTGAGGTATAGCTCAGTGGTAGGGCATGTGCCTAGCATGAAGTTTCAGTCCCCAGCACCATCCAAAAGAAATGCAATGAGTATTCAATATATGCACAAAATTAAATATATGGACTTAAATGAGAAAATGCTTAGAACAAGCACACAAACAAAATCAGTAAGAAAGTAGATCTGAAATACTTTCAGCTAGCTTGACCTCATTGGTGTCTACAGAACATGCCATCCACCTGGAGCAATCTGGTTTCTAAGATAATGACAAGTCCCAGTAGAGTCAAAAGGAACCAGTGCTGACAAATTATGGTTTCTGGCCTCATCTGAACTAAAGAAGAAATCAATATTACTAATATCTCTGAGGAAAAAGTTACAAACTAAGTATTAGTTCTAAATAATAAATGAGTCAAAGAAAAAAAGAAAACAGAAACTTTCTAGAAAGTATTCTGAACTGAATTAAGATAAAGCCTATCAAAAAATGTTTAAAAGGCTTTACTTTTTCATTTGAAAAGAGAGATATTTTGCAATTTTGTCCTAGGACTAGTATGACAATAAAGAGCATTTTGAGCTATACCCCAAACTCTTAATTCCTCAAAATTTCTGGTCTGAATGCATCACTCTACCTATACTAAGGCTCCAATACTGAAAATATAGGAAGAGGACTAAAAGTCCATAAAACTGAAGACTCTAAATTGGGGATAACAAAAACTAGGCAGCTCAAAGTTATCAGGCTGCAATAGTCATTCCAATATTCACAGAAAAAGGAAACACACACACACACACACACACACACACACAAAGAGAGAGAGAGAGAGAGAGAGAGAGAGAGAAAAGTCTAAAGACCGAGAGAGAGAGAGAGAGAGAGAGAGAGAGAGAGAGAGAGAGAGAAAAGTCTAAAGACATAAAATACTCCTGGAGCAAGACAGCAAGACAGCTTAGAGATGGCAGTACTTATGACACAGGGTTGCTGTGAGCTCTAATGCAATAATGTATATAAAGCACCTACTGGAGCTGGATGTGGTGGTGCACACCTTTAGTCCCAGCACTTGGGAGGCAGAGGCAGGTGGATCTCTGTGAGTTCAGGCCAGCCTGGTCTACCTAGTGAGTTCCAGGATAGCTGGGGCTACAGGGAGACCCTGTCTCAAAAAAAAGCAAACAAAAAACCACCTACTGGGTCCCTCACTCTGGCTCATAGTGAGTGATCCATGAAATGCCAGGCACCTTCATATCATTTTTTCTTGAGTTTCCTGCTATGAGTAATAACTTTTTTTATTCACTTATTTATCATTTATTTACTTATAGGTAATAGTCCAGAGACTAATATGCATCACAGGGGGGGAGGTATTAGAGATGGTACTTTTCTTTAGAGACAGTCACTATAAAACAAGAGAGAAATACAACATTGTGAATTCACCCAGAACGTATCTATGTTTCAAATTCAATTACCTATATTAGTTCTTTTCCCACCCAAAGAAACATCTATCAGTCAAACAGCTGAATCAATAAACACTCTAATGTGCTAGGAAAGTCTCTGTCTTAGTCAGATGTGGTGGTGCACACCTTTAATCCCAGCACTCAGCAGGCAGAGGCGGGTAGATCTCTGTGACATTGAGGCCAACCTGGTCTCCATAGTGAGTTCCAGGCCAGCTGTGGCTACAGGAAGACCCTGTTTCAAAAAGACAAAGAATAATTGCAATCACTTCCTAGCCTACTAATATCTGTGAAAACTGAATAGCTTTTGTGTGTTATATGTTAACTGAAAATAATCCTAGCTTTAAAAATTATTCTACAGGGCTAGAGAGATGGCTCAGTGATTAAGAGCACTGGTTGTTCTTGCAGACAACCTGGGTTCAAATCCCAGCACCTATGTGGTGGCTAACAACCGCCCATAACTCCAGTTCCCGGGGATCCAGCACTCTCTTCTGTCCTCCACGGGCATTGCACTACACAGGTGCACTTACACACACACAGGCAATACACTTATACACATGAAATAAAAATAAATAAAAATTAAAAGAAATTATTCTACTATCTTCTTATGTAAAGGAAAATGTTACCTATACTTATTACAGGTAAGTTGTTTACCCCAAAGCCTTTTAAAGTATGAAAGGAAGTGATTTCTTTCTTTTTATGGACATCAATAAAATGCACCTGCAGAGACAAAGTCCAAACAGGCAGAGCGCACACACATCAGGCCCCTGGAAAAGACTTGTCTAATTGTACACCACTGGGGGAAATGTTCATTGTGAATCTCAGGAATTACCTCCTTCAGTTGTGCTGGCCAGAATCCAAGGGCTCACTGTGGACCAGCCTATTTCATTCCTACAGGACACACCGATGCTGTAATTAGCCAGGGCTTGCAGCTGCTGGATTTGATACAGATGTGGTGAAGCAGAGGTGTTAAAAATCATGACTGTGCCATTACTCAGCTGGTCAACTTCCTTGACCTGAATGAAGAGTAAAGAGATGAACCAGTATTAGTAAGGTGAGGGGAATGTCAGACTGGGGCACGCACACATTGGATGCACGTGGCCCTTCCTCTGCACTGGGGGAAGGACCTGCTTCCCGTTCAGGGCACACACAAGTTTTCCCATCAGCATTATTGTGTATTACTCATGTCATTCAGAGGAAAACTGAAGAACTCAGGAAAACATTCAGACTATTGAGTTTCAGAGTGGCAGACAATAGGCAAATAATTACCATGATATTATATAATGATTATAACTCACATTATACTTATACTTTAATAGAAAATAGCCCCTCTAGCCAAGAGTGGTGGTGCACACCTTTGATCCCTGTACTCGGGAGGCAGGGGCAGGCAGATCTCTGCGAATTTGAGGCCAGCCTGGTCTACGTAGAGCTTTCCAGAGAAGCCAGCCAAGGCTATACAGTGAGACCCTGTCTCAAAAACAAAAACAGGGGCTGGCAAAATGGTCCAATAGTTAAGAGCTGTGGCTGCTCTTGTAGACAATCTGGGTTTGTTTTCCAGCACACACATGGGTGGCTAACTATCATCATTAACTAGTTTCAGGGGTTCCAATGCCCTCTTCTGGCACTGCATGCACATGATTCACTTTTCATACATGTAGGCAAATACACGTACACATAAAATATAAATAAATAAATCATTAAAAAATTTTCAAATAAAAACAAAGTAGTCCCTCTTCTCCAAGATCCATTTCAATTCTTGATTTCTTCATTTGTTTCATATCTGTTCATTTAAATATTTCCCAAATCATGCTTTAGAAGATGGATTTCTTGGCCTTTTTCAACAGTATTGTTTTATAGTAACACAAAAGACAAATATAAAACATCATACATGTAGAGCTGTTACTATATGGGGATAGAGGAACATGCTTGTGTTTTTACCAAAATCTACATTACTGAGTACTTCTGACACAGAGATTTTACTAGTCCTTTGCAGTTTTATTATGAATTAAAAAGTTCATAACTCTCTCAACCACTTTATCTTAATATTTATCTTAATATTCCCATTCAGGATGCTTTAGAGAACTGTTACAAAATCCAAAATTATCTCATCTAAGAGTTAGAATAGGTAGTATTTCTCACATTGACTAACTTTTCCCTCATAGTGGCAATGCACTTACTTGAAGCTAAAAAGTATTTTGTCAATAGTCCTTAAATGGTAAAACGAATTACCATTTTTCTGGAGTCTAGTATATCATAATCACTATTGGCTAAGCAGTAATGCATGAAACCTGATTTACAGAAGACAACAGCAACAAAAGTCTACACCATCTCATAAGTACAAAAGAAAAATGTTTGCAAAACTGGAACTATCTGACTTTCCTACCTCAAAACAGTTCACCATATCCACTGAGAATAACATCAGTCACTGAAGGAAAAAAGTCAACTGCTGGTGTCCAGCACTGAACTTCCACAGCATTGAACCTCCACAAAATTCAACCTCTACACATTCCTCACAGACATCCCTTATTTCAATTAAGAATTGTCTTACGGGGCTGGAGAGCTGGGTCAGCAGTTAGGAGCACAGGCTGCTCTTATAGAGGAGCCAGGTTTGAGTACCAGCACCCACATGGCAGCTAACACCTGTCTGTAACTCTAGTTGCAGGGGAACCAACACCTTCTTATGGCATCCTCAGGAACTGCATGGCACTAGTGCACTTATATACATGCAGACAAAACATTCAGACACATAAAAACTTTTTTTAATTAAAAAATTTAAAAAACAGCCTGGGCCTGCACAACCAGCAGGCCTCTCTCCGACCTGCAGGCCTCTCTCCAGGACCAACCCAGCTCCTCAGTGCAGTCCCAATGAGCCCTTGGGGCTGCTTCCCGCCCCCATCTTCCTTTGCATCTCTGGGTAGCGTGGCCACCAGCTGCCCTAGACCAGCATCTTTCTTGGGCCAGGCTCCCAAGCCAGTCCAACCCCCAAACACCTGAGGCCAAAATCTTTCCTGGAGGGATCCAGACCTTAGGAGAGAGCCTAAGAGCATCTGATCTTCTTCTGACTTGGGCCTCTGTGGGAACTCTTGAAGATAAAAGAAATCTGGCCACTCCAATATAAAATCAAAAGAGAGAACCGGAAGCTTAGAGGAACCAGTTTTCCTCTATACTAAACACATAAACTTTACAAAAAGAAGCAGACCTAAACTTGAAGGCTTGAGTCTCACATAAGAATCAGAAACTACAAAAGGAATTCACATGTCAAAATCACAGAGAAAAATAATAACAGGAAAAACCAAAATAACATATCCCCACCAAATACCAATAGTCCACTGTAACAATAGTACAGTGAGAACCCCCATA